TTCTTGAACTTCTCTGCTGTCCCTGAGCTCTTTGGCTCAAAGGTAGCACTCTACCACTTTGAGTCACAGTGCCACTTCCGGTTTTCTGGGGTTAATTGGAGACAAGATCTCATGGGCTTTCCTGCCCGGGCTGGCTTTGAACCGTGATCCTCAGATCTCACCTTCCTGAATAGCTAGGATTACAGGCATGAGCCATCAGCACATGCTCCTCTTTGGAGGAGCAAAGAAGGGCTCAAGTGTGCAGAGAAGGCCGTAGGCAATCCTGGGCTGTATGGGATGGTGGTGGAGTAGTCTATTGTGGATGCCTCTGAAAGCTAGTGTTTCATTTACAGTGTGTGTGTGTGTGTGTGTGTGTGTGTGTACATGTGTATACTGGGACTTGAACTCTGGGCCTTGTGCTTTTGTTTTGGCTCTTTTGCCCACAGCTGGTGCTATATCACTTTTTTTTTTATTTTGTTTTCTTTTGGGTGTGGGACTTGAACTCAATACCTGGGCATGGTCCCCAAGTTATTTTTCTCAAGGCTAGTGCTCAACCACTGGAGCCATAGCTCTACTTCCCATTTTTAGGTGGCTAATTGGAGATAAGAGTGTCACAGACTTTCCTGCTTGGGCTGGCTTTGAATTTGGATCCTCAGAACTCAGCCTCTTGAGTATCTAGGATTACAGGTGTGAACCACCAATGCTCAGCTGGTTGTCTTGTTGTTTGTTTGTTTTACTATCTTTTGAAATTGCATAACAATTTTTTATGAATAAACTGATATCATGTCTGGGGTTTCCTTCAAAGTAATCCAATGAAGGACAGATGTCATGGCTGTGAGTAAACTACTCAAATTAGCATAACTTGAATCCAAGTTCTGCATATATAGAGCTTCATAGTATTTGAAATTTTCTGTAATAAAATGATTAAAAGAAAAGATAATAAGCCAGGTGCAGGTGGGATCACCCTGTAAAATCCTAGCTACTCAGGATCTGAGGCTGAGATCTGAGGATTGCAGAATGTTTGTGAGATTTACATCTTCAGTTACCCACCCCAAAGCCAGAAGTAGGAGTGTGGTTCAAGTAGTAGAACACTAGCCTTGAGCTAAAAAGTTAGGACACAGCACTCAGGCCCTGAGTTTTAATACCTAGTACCAGCACAAAAAGAAAAAAAAAGGGAAGGAAGGAAGAAGAGAAAGAAAGAGAGAAAGCAAAAAAGCAAAAGAAAGAGAGGAAGAAAGGAAGGAAGGAAGGAAGGAAGGAAAAGATGTGATGACATTTTCCCCTTAGCCCTTCAACAAAGAAGAAAACAAAACAAAACAAAAAGGCTGGGGGCAAGGCCTGTTAACTCTTGTGGGGACATAGGAAGTAGGTAGCTAGTATACAAGAGGGTCCTGGAGGCTTAAGTCAGTGGTGACAGCTTTGCATCCATCAAAAACAGCTTCAGCTTAGAGCTAGTAATGAAATCATAAAGACCTAGAGGTTGGACTGGCCTAAGAACTCAGTAGCTACAAAGATTGTTCTTCTTAGCCTGTTGGACTTCTGTGAGTAGGAATTCTGTATCCAACCACAAGTCCTTAAACCTGGAACAGTTTTTTTAAAAAAGTGATTTTACATACAACACTGGGCTAATAAATGTAGGCTCATGAAATGAGTAACCAAGCAATTCTGGTCCTTAGAAAGCTTATAGTGTTACATAAGAAGGTTAAAAGCATTAACTGGAAATCAGTATTACCAGTCAAACATGTATACACATACACATGTAACATGGAAACTAGAGGAGCACCTGTTTGCCAGGTGAAGAAATAGTTCCCGATTTAAAACACAGATTTGCCAGGACAAGAGCCAAGAGTAAGAGGATATTTCAGGAAGAAGGAAATGAATTAGTAAGATACAGCGTGAAATCACAATGCTATGTTCTGGGAATGACAAGTATTTGATTTGCTGGAATATAGTGTCGGGGGCTCTAGGATTTGTTCCTCAGTCTGCATAGACCACTATATTTTTACCTCCTTATTCGAAGTTTAGGACAAGGAGAGGGCTATCAGCCCTTTGATTTATTATCTCTTCAAACTTAGTTTCCTAAAGCCAGGCACTGGTGGGTCATACCTGTAATCCTAACTACTCGAGAGGCTGAGATCTGAGGACTGCAGTTTGAAAGGCAGGAAAGTCTGTGAAACTCTCATCTCCAATTAACCACCATTTTTTTTGGGGGGGGGGTTTTTCCGGTCGTGGGGCCTGAACTCTGGGCCTGGGCGCTGTCCCTCAGCTCTTCAGCTCAAGGCTAGCGCTCTACCATGTGAGCCACAGCGTCACTTCCAGCTTTTTTCTTTTTGCTTATGTGGTGCTGAGGAATGGAACCCAGGGCCTCATGCATGCAAGGCAAGCGCTCTACCACCGAGCCATCTTCCCAGCCCCAACCACCATTTTTTTTAAAGCTGGAAGTATAGCTGTGGCTCAAGGGGTAGAAAGCTAGCCTTGAGCAAAAAAAAACGGAGGGACAGTATCCAGACCCTGAGTTCAAGCCCCAGTACAGGAAGGAAGGAAGGAAGGAAGGAAGGAAGGAAGGAAGGAAGGAAGGAAGGAAGGAAGGAAGGAAGGAAGGAAGGAAGGAAGGAAGGGAAAAGATTTAATGTCCAACATAAAACATAGTGTAAGCAGCAATAACCTTCTCCCAGTAATTATAGACCCTTGCACAAAGAAGAAAGATGAGTCAGTCAGAAAGGAAAGCTCTAAACTTCTTTTCCTATAAGTGTTTTGTATGGTGAAAATACATAAAGATGTTCAAAGTATAAGCTCATGAATCACACAGCTTACTGCCATACAAAGCCAATTTTTCCCCCTTAGGTTCACAATGCTTAAAGAGAGGGACAATAAGGTGAACAGATCCCACAGGAAACACATTTGATGGAGACGGCTCATTAATACATGGTGAGTGAGTTCCCACATTATTAGTCCAGTTGTTCAATTAGGATGGAAGCAGGCCTCAGTGGAAAGTAAAGTCTAATTAAAGATTAAGGCATGACTTTATACAGTGGTACTCTGGAGAAACTGGTTTGACCAATCAATATAGTAGCAGAGTTAGTGACAGTAGAGGTCCCTTCAAGCTGGAGGGCAATTCCAGAGTGGGAGGAGAGGCAGATTTGAGAGATTAGCTAGAAGGTGGCCACAGCAGATATTGGGAGAGGGGAAACACCTCAGAAATCTTGGTCAAGTAGCAGGTCTCAAACCTGAATAGCCTGGGTTGGGAATGTGGTTTAGTGATAAGAGTGTGTTTGAAGCCCTGGGTTCAATTCCTCAGTACTACATAAACAGAAAAAGCCAGAAGTGGTGCTGTGGCTCAAGTGGTAGAGTGCTAGCCTTGAGCACAGAGGGACTCAGGGACAGAGCCCAGGCCCTGAGTTCAAGCCCCATGACTGGCAAAACAAAATAAAACAAAAAACTGTGTAGCGTACCATGACCTAAGCCAAGTGTCCCCATCAAACTCTTCAGTTTATATGTATTTTGGTGTTTGGTAGCTTACATATATATGGATTTAATAAGGTCTGATGTCACATCTTGGGAGGAGGAAATTGACTCCAATTTCTCACCTATGGGGATTTGGTAAGATTCCACACTCTTCAAGGGGAGGTGGAGATATGGCAAAAGTGGAAGAGGACAGTCTTAAAAAAGCTAAGAACACAAGGCCCTGAGTTCAAGTCCCAGTACTGGCACAAACAAAACAAAACTATGCTCTTCAAGGAGGATGTCAAAATGCATTTTGTGTTCTTTTATTTATTTTTACTTTTATGTTTTGGCAGTACAGGGGATGGAATCTGAGCCTCAGATATTCTACCCTTGAGCTGCACCTCCAGCTCCACACTCCAAGTTCTTATTAGAGCAAAGCACATCATCATTTGTGCAGCAAATTATGGAATTGTTGGAAATCATTCCAATGCTACCTGAGAAGTAGGCTTTGTACTCACTGAGATTTTATCCAACTTTATTGGTATTTCTGAACAAAATCTTTTCTCCTTTTTCTTTTCATTGATTGATGTGCTAAGTATTTGTCTAAATGGCACATTTATACATAAAATGAGCAGAGGAAGTGGGCAGTACACATTTATAAATAAAATATAGTAACAAAAACAATAGTTTTTAAGAGAATAATTTTTAAGAGAAGAGATAAAAAAAACAAATGCCTTGCAAAATTGATGACCAAAGATATCTGGCTAATATATGCTGATTTTTTGTAGCTGTACTGAGGTTTGAGCTCACAGCCTTGTGCTTGCTAGGCAAGTGCTCAGCGACTTGAACCATGCTTCCAACCCTGGAAACTTTGTGTGGGTTGTATGTGTGTATTTGCAGGTACTAGGGCTTGAATGCAAAGCTTTTTCACCCCAAATTGGCACTCTATCACTTTGGTCACAATTCTACTTACAGCTTTTCGGTGGTTAACTGGAGATGTGTCTTACAGACTTTCCTGCCCAGGCTGGCTCCGAACCTGTGATCCTCAGGTCTCAGCCTCCTGAGCAGCTGGGATTTGCAAGAGTAATCAAGAGCATCCCTAGGCACTTTCAAAAACACAATCTTCATTGCTTTAGACAGGCCAGAGCTTCACCATGCGCCTTGCAATCAACTCTAATCAAATGCCCGCTCTGCGATTTTACACAACTGGATGGCAGGCCTGACAGTTTCCCACTGAGCCCCGAGACTCCGGGGCGCTCGGCGTCTTGTTGCACAAGTTTGGCTCCCGCCTGGGAGGCTCGGGGTATCCATCCCCACGCAACGCCGCGCCTTACACCAGGATCAGCAAGTTCCCGGGATCTGGGAGTCCTCCCACCCACAGCCAGTCTGTCCCCCCCGACTCCGCCCCTCCAGCAGAGAACACCTTGCGCTTGCGTGAGCCGCTTGGCCCCCGCAGGGGGGCGGTGCCAACATAGTCTCCGCCCCATACGTCGTCCCGCCCCGCCAGGTGCGCGTGCGCCGCGGCTCCGCCCCCCTCCCCCCCCCCCCCCCCCCCCGGCGGCAGTCTTTGGGTCAGCGGGGGACCGGCGCGTAGTCCTCAGCCGAGCCGAGCGGCCTAGCAGACGCGCGCGCTGCCTGTCTCCGACGCCTCGGCTTCTCTTCAGCCGATCGGTGCGGCCATGGCCTGGCAGCGGCGGCCCGAGGCCGACATTCGAGCCCGAGGCGCGCTGGCGCTGCTGGCCCTGGCCTTGTGCTCGCCCGGGGCTGGGAGCCAGGCGCTCGAGTGGTACTCCGCCGTGGTGGGCCTCGAGTATGTGGACCCGCAGACGAACCAGACCGTGTGGAGCGTGTCGGAGAGCGGCCGCTTCGGCGATAATTCGCCCAAGGAGGCCGCGCAGGGCCTGGTGGGCGCTCCGGCCGGAGACCCCGAGGGCTGCGCGCCCGACGCGCGCTTCTTCGTGCCGGGCGGCCGGGGAGCGGCCCCGTGGGTCGCCCTGGTGGCGCGCGGGGGCTGCACCTTCAAGGACAAGGTGCTGGTGGCGGCGCGGAGGAACGCCTCGGCGGTAGTGGTGTACAACGAGGAGACCTACGGGAACGTCACGGCGCCCATGTCCCACGCGGGTGAGCCGCCCCGGCGCGGGAGGCCGCGCGCCCCGGGCCTGCCTCCCAGGCCCAGAAATGGCCCCTGGGCGCCGCTTTGGTGGTGTTTTGATGTGGGTCTTTTGTTTGTTGGTTTGTTTTTTGAGGTCTGAGGCCAGCCTTAGGGGTTGAGCCCTGCGTCCACACTCGAGATGAGATCTTTGAACTGAAGAGATGAAGGTGCCCAGCAGGCAGATTGTGGCTCCGCCCATGGGTCTCTTTGTATGCGGCTTCCCAAACAAGGGTTGGAGGTTAAGAAGTGAAGCTCCTGGCAGAGGTGGGGGGGGGGTAAGTGGATGGGTGGGTGGTGTGTGCACTGGGACTTCTTGAACTCAGGACCCAGGCACTAATCCCTTTAGTTTTTTTTCCGCTCAAGGCTAACACTTGAGCTACAGCTCCACTTCCAGCTTTTTGGTGATTAATCGGAGGTAAGAATCTCTCGGAGTTTCCAGCCCAGGCTGGCTTTGAACCAAAGTCCTCAAATCTGAGCTTCTTGAGTAATTAGGATTGCAGACCTGAGCCACCTGGTTGCTCCCCAGCCTTCCCTCCTTCCCCTCCCGTCACCTTCCCCCCCCTCCCCTGCTATGAAGTTATCCTGAGTTTTCCAAACTTTTGACTCAGGAAACCTGGCCTTTAATTCTGGAAATTTTCTCTCTTGCTAAAATATAGATTTGTAACACTGACTCCACTTTGGGGTTACATGAAATTTGAAACTTAACTGTGTGTGTGTTGATGGAAGAAAAGGGCCTATTTCTTTGCCTAGAGCCCCATCCTACATGAACTAGTCCCAGGGAGAAATAGCAGGTTACATCTTAATGCAGTAAATGAGGGTTGAAGTATGACCAATCTTGGAACTGAGTTGGAACTCAGTTTTAAGATCACATTAGCACTACGCACTAAACTTCAGGTGATTAAAATTATTTTCTAAGTTTCTGCTGTTACTAAGCAGTACAACCCTTTTCCTATACTGTACTTCTGTTTTTTAGTGTGTTTAGGTCACTTGACTGAGTTCGGAACTTAGCTGTAGAATGAGGTTTTGCAGAAAAGTTTTATCGAGTTTGGCTAATTTAATAGTGTGGGGAATGGTAGCCAGGTGGGAGGTGGGGAAGGGGGGGCTTCCCTATAGGCTAACAGGGGGCCTAAACTGCAGGAGCAAGGGAAAGGGATGGGTAGGAGATGGTAAGGAGTACTTGAAGTTGGATGGGAGTGATCTGCTAGGACCCCAAAATGAGGGAGAAAAAAAAAAGTGGAGAAATAGGTCTATGAGAAATCAAGAAAGCCAGTCCTGAGTAATTGTTGAAGGTTAAAAATAAAATATATAAAATTGTTGAAGATTGACTTTGGAAGATGGGCAAGTGGGGATGAGTGCAAATGTCTCTGTAGTGGTATTGGGCTGGGCATGCTAGTTTATTAGTCCAGTGATTACAAATTGACCCCATTGTCATTGTGCTTAAGCCATGTTTCCACAGAACCCACCATATAAAGATCCTGGAATTTCAGGTACATTCTAACCACAGAGTTCACAAGTTGAATAGTTGTATCAGTGAAGAGGTCAGTGAGCCATGATGCCAGATCCTTAACACAGTCTCTTTCTTTTAAATAGTAGATTCCTCAGCCTGTAGTTTTCTTAATCTACCTATTTCAGTTTTTGATCATGACATTAACATCCTTTCAAGTGAACATAATTTGTTCTAACCATGGTTCATTCAACAACCTTTCTTGCTGATATTAGCATGTAACTTATTCAAATGCCTCCCCACAATAATTTCTTTGATATTCATGTGGAAATCCTTTTTTTCCAGTCTTCTGGACTCGGCAGCCTCCTGTCTAGTCCTCAGAACATGAGAAAAAGTCAGTTTGAGATGCTCTTTTTCCCCACAAAAAAGAAACCTTAAAAAGAATAGTTGGTTTGGTTTGGTGTGAATGTATCTATTGTGTAGACACTGTGGTGACTGTTTTGTGAATTATAGGATATTTGACTGCATTCTTGCTTCCTATCGCCCACCAAGTTCCATTAACCCTCTCACAATTTTTCTTTTTAGTTTCTCTATTTTATTTCTAGCATATACATACAAGTCTATTGATGATGCACAAATTACATCACTGCAAAGGATAGAAAAAAAGCTTATGAGTTGGTTCACTGTCACTTACGCAGAGGAAATAGTAAAAGTATGTCAATCTAGACAAAAAGATAAAAAGCAACAAACTGTTTTCAGAACAAGTAGTGATATTCATTCACCCAGCTTAAACCTGAAGACCAACGATGATGATATAATATGGTACTTATTACTCAAAATTGGCAGCTGAAAGAATTCCCTTTCTATGTAAGGAGGTGGAGAAAAGGAATAGTTGACACTGTGTTACTTCTAAACAACAAAGTCAATAATTTTGAGTACAAAAATGTCTTTACGTGTTGCAAAATGCTCTGGAAGTGAGATGGACAAAATTATACAATACTTTGAGCCACTGACCTTAGAAGGGCCAGTACCATGGTGGTGCAGCAAAAATGGAAAGGTTCTTGTAGAACTTGTTCCAGTCAGATACAAGATACAAGGCCAGGTGCTGGTGGCTCATGCCTGTAATCCTAGGTACTCAGGAGGCTGAAATCTGAGGATCTTGGTTCAAAGCCACCCGGAGACTTTAATTTCCTACAAAAAAACTGGAAGTGGGGCTATGGCTGAAAGTGATAGAGCACTAGCCTTAAGCAGAAGAGCTCAGGGACAGCTCCTAGGCCACAAGCCCCACAACCACTACCAACAAAAAAATAACAGATACAAGGTACAGCTGTGGGTTTGAGAATAGAATTAAGGTGAGAGGAACCACCTTTGACATGCTGTATTTGAATTTGAGATGAATATTCTTATAGAACCTCAGGCTGTTAAAGCTTATGTTTCCTATATTTAGTCAGAATGTTGCTAGAGCCTGGAAAACCTACTGATTCAGTGGTCTCAGTGTTCCTATGTAACACTGGATTTCTACAAAGTAATTAAAGCTGATATATTTGTTAAGTAAAATATTAAGTCTTAGAATTCTCTAGCTTTTATTGGAAATCTACTGCTTAACTTACTGTTACTAGATCAATTCCGAATTTAAGCCAATATTTTATTGTAGCTTTTAAAAAAGTCATGACTTAGCCTAGTGTAGTGGTACATATCTGTAATCCCAGCTTTGCAGGAGGCAGAGATGGAAGGATCATGTTTGAAGATCGAGTTTGAAGCCAAAAGTTGGTGAGATCCTGATCCTATCTCATACAGTGGCATATCTGTAGTCCTAGCTATGTTTGTGGATTAATAAAGAGGATACTTCTTTAGCTGAACCTTGGTGAGCTCTTTCAAGAAGGACACTTGAGCAGTTGTTTACTGAGTGCCAGGTAACTAACAAGGCTTATATTTGTAGGAAGGGTTAGAGTCCTGATAGGGCATAGGCGGTTTCCAAGGTGTTTAAGATTTTTGAAAGGTCACATTTTAAGAGAGATTCATTGTGATTTGGCAGATCATGGAATATAGTCTTTTATAAGTGAACAAATGATCAAAAACACTTAGAATTGAATTTAAGATATATGCCTCACAGAGGGTGGGTTTTTTTATGGAAGCTTCTAGAAAGATCTAGTTTTGCAGGACAAGTTATAGTTGATAAAAAGAAAATGTGTAGCATTCATTTATAAGAGTAAGTAGGACTGGCTGGGAAGGTGACTCAGTGGTAGAGCGCATGCCTTGCATGCCTGAGGCCCTGGGTTCGATTCCTCAGCACCACATAAGCAAAAAGAAAAAAGCCGGAAGTGGTGGCTGTGGCTCATGGTAGAGTGCTAGCCTTGAGCTGAAGAGCTGAGAGACAGCGCCCAGGCCCAGAGTTCAGGCCCCACAACCGGACCCAAAAATAAAAAAATAAAAAAAATAAAAAGAGTAAGTAGGACTTCTCAGTCACAGGAATAGCAATGAAAAAGGCTAAAGGTCTGAAATGAAGTAATGCATCTGGGAAAGTTGCAGAAGTGTTTCCAGTAAAATTGTTGAGTAGTCAATACTTCTGAAATTGTTGTTTTGTTTTACTTTTGAGACAAGGTCTCACCTTATAAAAAGAAAAGAATATGTGGTTTCCTTCTAACTCACTGTAGCCAATCCTGAAAGTCTGTATAATGGCTTGAAATTTGCAAGACATTTACATTCTGTACTGTTTCTCCAGCTATAATTATCCTTAGTAGGTCATCTCAATGATAGCCCTGGAAAATAAGCCAGCTTTTCAGATTAATTCATTCATGCAGGAACTCTACTGTGAGCCATCACTTCTTGTTGGGGCTGTAAAACCTAATTCAAAAAAAAAGAAAAAGAACAGATAGTACTAGATAGGAGAGAGACCTAGAAAGAGATTTTGATGTGTGTAAAAAGGAGTATCCATGATAATTCTGACTCCAAGAAAGTTGCAAAGCCTGAAGTTGAAGTTGCCCTAAATATTCAAGATTTGACTGGACAATCTCCAGGCTGGGAGTAAGTAGGAGTGGCCAGAGTTTGGCAGCTAAGTTACTAGAAAAAACAAAAAAAAAAAAACCTGAAAGTTCAGGGGATTCTGTTCCTCTAACTTTCTAATGTGATTTCTTGATTACTTGAGTTAGTTTGCTAGATCAGAAATCAAGTCCTCTACTTTAAATATTTGAGTAGTTCTCATCTTCTTCAAGACAATGTTGAAATCTTCTTTAAATCTTTTCTTCACCATGAGAAGTAGTATGTTAGGCTCCATTGTGTCACTGCTGAATTTTGAAACTGTTAGTCAAATCTGAATTTGTGTTTGTTTGTTTTGACAAGGTGATAAGGGGAGCACAGAAAGTGGAAAAGGAAGTGAACACCATTTTATATTTGGCACAGGAAAATTTGAAATTATGTTACCAGTAATTTTGCTTGCTAAAAATACTGTATTTGGTATCTGTTACTCAACAAGTAGGATTACAGTCGTATACTGTGGGCAGTGACATTGTGTAGACGTAAGACAAA